ATTATTTTAGAAATATGCATGTTCCATGAAGCTGACCATCAACTAGTAAAGTAATATATATGCTTTAAAAATGTTCCACAGATTATTGTAAAAGAAAAAGGGATCTTCACAAACGTGGCATCAGCATCGGCCAAAGCCAAGTTGAGATTGTTGTTTGAGGTAGCTCCTTTGGGATTATTAATTGAAAAAGCTGGAGGTTATAGCAGTGATGGTCATCAGTCTGTGTTGGACAAAGTCATCAATAACATTGATGAGAGAACTCAAGTTGCTTATGGATCCAAGAATGAGATCATTCGGTTTGAAGAAACCTTGTACGGTAAATCCAGACTCAAGGGTGGTGTAGCTGTTGGAGCAGTTGCTTAAACTGTTAAACTTATAATTCATTGTCAGGTTGACTTGATTTTAAGAAAGATATATGTTATCTTAAACAAGTATATGCAATTTAGTCATTGATTTTCTGTTTATCACTATGACATGAAGTTAATTTTATGTTGGTATGACTTCTGTTGTAAAAAAAAAAAAAAAAAAACTAAATGAAAAATTGCTTAAATAGAAAACAACACGGTGATAATATTTAAGGATTTATAAATAAAGATAATAACTCTATAATACATAACAAGATAATCTTCCTAGATCATTCTAATTACAATTGAAATAAAAATCAATCTGATTTGCAAAATTTAAAGAAAGTAAATCTTCGGAATAAAATTGGCAAAGCAATATTCATATGATCAAATGGTTTATTAATTGTTACATAGTTATAACAATGTGTAATTGACAAATCACTTTGTATATATACAAGGTAAGATACTAATAAGCTCTCATAATCGTTTTAAATGTAGACAAAAAAATTAATTATTCTATTGATTGGAAGATGACTTTCCATATAAATTACAATCTAACAAAGGTTGTAAACCCCTTTAACATCAAGATCCTCGGTCATGTGGGTATCTAAATTAAACCTGACTAGTTCTTCGTCTTTACTTCGAAAAAAGATATTCCCCTTCTTCCCAGCTCCAATAGAATGTTCAATGTAAGGCAAAGGCTCAACAATAAAGAGTTTAGTCCATGATTCCTTTACACCAACTTCACCCAAAATTGATATATATGTAAAATATGGACGAATACATATAATGTAAGATCAAAGCAATAAAGATATTTAATAATACTAAAGTAACATCATAATCATAGCGCATCCTGTCTAATGGTATTTCTAAGGGTATAGGTGTTGTAGAGAATGTCTTATTGCTTAAGTCAAACGACACCAAGTAATCATCACCTTGCCAATGACACATTCCATCCAAATACAAATAGTTAACCCTATCGCTAAGAGGTATATCGGCATCGACATCAAGATTCTTCCAGGAGTTACTTCTCAAGCTATATATCTCCCATAAGGGGTCATGATATTCATTTTCAAGAATCTAGTTATCATAATCATCAAATTGAAGAAATTGTACATGACTAATCATTTTATAGTCATCTGTATCACGGTCATAGCCAAATCCATGATTCCATCACACAAGAATCAACAGAATAAACTATATTAGATGGTACAAACTTATTTGGGCTAGGAGGAATGATCTTCAATTCTTCAGTAGTTAGGTTCCATAGTCCAATTATGGAATACAGGTTATCAAGGAAAAAAATTCCATTAATACTAGCATGACCTAAAATATGTATACCAAAATTCACTAGATTTTGCCCTTGAAATAGACTTGGCAAATCTAATTTGACTCTATTCTGAAGTCTCTTACCAGAAAGCAAAAACAAGTTCTCATGATGAGTTTGAGTGACGTTAGTGTTCAAAGATTGACGTATGAGTAAAACTGTATCATTATAGTAAGAATGATGATTAGATAAGACATTATTGAGAAAGATTGTCATGAAATAAGGGTTTTCAAGTAAGATGACCCATGATTTGCGAACACAACCAAATCTCGAGAGGTTTTAAAGGCAATTTCCCCAAAATAGAGAATATTAGATCGTTAGGTATGTGGTTCCTAAACTTTTCACTTGCGGCATCCACAAATTTTTGCTTGTTCATGAATTCCCATAGGTGAGAAACCTCCTTGATCTTTTTCTTCCTCTTAGGATCCTCATCAACATGTTAAGCATCATTATTAATTTCCCTCTCCATTGTCTTCTCAGCCCAAAGGTAAATGAGATAACGGGTTAATTTAGAGTGTTTCTTGATAAGATCCTTAATCCTTGTCTCTTCCAAGTACTCCAACTGTTGACAAAAATGAAGGAATTAGTTAACTGCATTAAAAGAAATGGGGGTCTATGAATAATTTGTGTACCTTACTTGATCCTCCTTGAGAAAGAGGGTGATTTTGGTTCCTCTCATGAGTTGTTAGCCACTAGAGTCCTTGGTAACAGTGAAGGAGGCATCGCCTTGAGATTCCCAAGTGTATTGGTCATGGTGTGGTTGTGCTTAGTGATGACCATAACCTTGTCAGCAACCAAGAAAGCGGAGTAAAAACCAACACCTAATTGACGATACCTTCCTAAATTGTTGATCAAATCTACAATAATACACACACCATACTTATAAGCATATGGAATGCACACACACAAATGAAATGAAAATGCGACTCAATAACTGCTTTAGTCATGCCAATACCAATGTCAATAATGGGAAGTGTTTTATTAACCTTATGAAAGACCAATCTAATGAATTTAGCTCCTAACTCAGTTTGACTCTCATATTAAATTTTGTCCAAAGCCTATTATACAGAAAAGAAACACAAATGAAATTGAAATTTGTAATCTTTATAGAACTGAACTTGAAAGACTACTTACCTCGAAAGCATTGTTGATAGGCTCACGAAAGAAGATTTCTTTGTTTGAATGGAAACTGTTGTTTATGAGGCTCCGTATCTCAACCTTGAATTCAAACGTCTCATTTTCACCATTATCCGTTACAATTGCAAATAAAACAAACAAACTAGACTTTTATACTATATTCTTCAAGGGGAAATAGGGTTGTTTTTCTCACAATTCTTGTATCCTCACCAATTTATCTTCACGCAAATAGGTGAGCTTTTAAATGTAATATATTAAATACATAAAAATATCAGATACACCAATGGATGAGCTTTTAAATTGAATACATTAAATCCTAGATATTGATATTAACTATTTTCTTAATTAATTATTTAAATCAAATCATCTTAAGTTTTAAGGGTATGCAAAATATTCTTTCAGGATATTTAAAAGAATTTTTTTCATCATTATTTTCACATATTTAGACTATTTTTTTCTAAAATTCAAAAAAGGACACCCATCCATACTCGCACAAACAATCGATCAAACAGAGAGTGCAAATTTCAGATAGGTTAATAACCATTCAAACTATGTTCAAATTGCATGGACCATGTTCATGGATAAAAAAAAAAACTATGGTTGAATTATGTTGTACTTTCCCCAACCTTTCATCAAATGAATGACGTATATTCACATGACACTAAATCATTATGATACAAGATCTCATTACAATATACTCAAAAGTATAGTGAGTTTCTCACTCATTTTAGTTTCAAGTAAGTCACAATAGAAAGTATACAGATATGGGAAGTGGTTGATTATTGTAATTGTAAATAGAGCAAACAAAGCTTTTATGCCTCTTCGAGGGGAAATGGGGTAATTATTTTTCTTAATTAGTAGTTTAAATCAAATCATCCTATTTTTTTAGAAATGTGCAAAATATGTAGATTATAAAATCTGATACATATTTCTATCAATTCTCTCTGATGTCTGTAGTCTACTAATGCCTCATATTGATCCCAAGAGAGATGAGGATACTTTGGAACGTGGGATTTGACAGAACCATGAAAATATAAGTGGGTAAATTAATAATAAAAAATAAAAAATATAATTTAAAGTAAGGATTGTGCAAAGTATTCGGATTATAAAATCCAATTTTATCCATTCCCTTTATTATCTACGGTCTACTAATGCATCATGTTGATCCCAAGAGAGACGAGAATACTCTAGAAGGTTAGAATTGACATAACCATGAAAATCTTTCTCAAAGAAGCGGGTAAATAAATAAATAGAAAATAGAAATATAATTTAGTGTAAAGATAATTATATAATAGCAAATTTCAGTTAGGAGAATCTAATATAAATTATTCTTATGTCTATAATTTATTTTAAATTTTAATTATAACTATCTATGAATTTAGTTACAAAATAAAATATTTTATTTTTATTATAATTTCAATTAATATTTTAAACAAACTTTATTTTTTAAATTAAAAAGGGTAAAAAAAATAAAAGAGAAAATGTTATTAAAAAGACTTTAGTAACCCTAAATTTTAAATGTGACGTAATATAGGAAAATCTAATTATGTAATTTTTTTCAAAATTATAGTAGAAATTATTTAGGTCTGTAAGCGAGTTGAGTTAGGTCAGGTTTGGATGAATCTGTTACTCGACTTGATCAAAATTTAATGGGTTGGATTGAGTTAGATTTGTATTTCTATTTTTAAATCCAACCCAACCCGATCATGAACGGGTTGATTTGGTTGAGTTAATTAGGTAAACATAATTTTATTTATTTATTTATTTTGTAAAAATTCAAACATTTCATAATAGATGTAAATCATTTCATATTTTGTTACAAATATAATGTTATCAACTCATAAAGTAACTAATTGTACAAACTAAATTCCAAAATACATTTGTTGATTTTCTATATTAACACCAAATAAAATTTAAAATAAATATGTTGTATTGTTATAATGTAATCAATTTAAAAACACAAAATTCATTATTAAACAAGAGTGACAAAAAATATTGTTCTGAGCGAGTAATCATAAATAATACTAATTTATTATTATTGTTATTGTCGATATTATTAATATTATTATTTTATTTTTTGCTATATATCACTGGGTCGAATTAAATCACATATCAAAAAATATAAAACCCATTTCTTAACTAGTACAATTTTGATCGAGTTTTTGACCCATACTCTTTCATGGTGCCAAAATTCTCCACCGATACAATTTGTAAGCATGAGGGTCCAATTTCTAGTTAATGAATTGCGTTCATTTAAGATCAGAAACCCGCTCGAGAACCTGTTTGAGCCTAGTTTCAAACTCATTGCGTTCTTAATATTCATGCAATTCGCACTTAAATCCATTCAAGGTGAGATTTCAATCATCCAATTGCAACAAATTTATTCTGTATTCATCGATTCCATACTCACGATACGTCATTCTCTTATGAAAATCAAAAACTAAGTCACGAAACTCGCATGCGAGAACCTGTTTGAGCAATACTTTGATGTATTCTTAATATTCAACTCGACATTTGTTCGAAAATTCATTCAAAGTGGGTTTTCAATCGACTCATTAAAATTGACGTTTATTTCGTTCCCTTGCTGAATAGTAACTTTGTAAATACGCAAAGAAATGTGAACCCCTGTCTTTGGGTTTACACTTTTCTAGTATTTTAGTTGGTTTACAATTTGCACTTTTGTTTCTACAAGTAAATTGGACTTTTGGAAGGATTACAATTATTTGTTTGTGTTTATCTTTTACATTATCTTTTTCTTTTGGACAATTTCCATTTTAGATAGAAATTAATTAGTTCATCTTATACATTCAAGCCCTACACTTGAACCAATGATTACGAAAGATTTGATTTAAAAAAAATAAGTTGACAACTTTCTGAGGTTTCGTTAATTTCTGATGTATTATATTGAATTGAATTTTCAGAAGATACTTTCTAGTTAGAGCATCCTAACATTGTTGAAATAAAAATCTTATCCATTTTGTGTGTTTTAAATAAAGTTGATGTTAACCCATCATTTTATTTAAAAGGACAAGAATGAACAAAATGTTTCCCAACTTTTGCCCAATTTGACTCCCGTGAACGAGTCTTATGTTCCACCAAAGAGGCCAAAGCTGCAAAGAAAATCCAGCATCTTTGAACTGAAGTGGTCTATTACAAGCTCGAGCTGCAATTAAAAAAGCAACAAAAATCAAACACAAGATATAGACTATGTTCCAGTTGGACCAATGTATAACAATGCCAATGCATTTCACAGGTACACAAGCACTCGTTGTTAGTATGTTTATATCTTTCCATTTCATAGGTATGTTAAAGCTTGAATTAAGAATTTCATTTAATAATATCAAAGTGATATTCAAAGTTTTGAGACAGAGCTTTCAGAGCTAGAGATCACCTCCAAGGAAGGTGGTCCTGAAACATTTTGTGGAATTTTTATTCGCACACCTGCAATTCTTGAAGCAGGGCCAGAAGTTCAAGTGCTGGCTGATTATCTTATACTTCTAACAGATTGTTGAATTCTGATTCCTACGGTTAGTTATTAATATGTCTGTCTATAGAGAGCTTTTAGTTTGCATTGTTGAGTATAATAAGATCAAGAGTGTTACGTGTGTAATTTTCTAACTTATGTTTTGACTAATTTGTAAATGTGTCATGTCACTGACTTAATTTACAAATTAGCAAAATAGCAATAGACAGTTAGCAACATCCATAAGATAGACACCACAAAATTGGTTTGTGAGACTAGCTGCTGTTCTAAGACTATGGTTTCAAGTAATTCCATTCAAATTTCTCATTTACTTATCACACTAATAGTATTTAATCAGTCCTTACGTGTATATATATGTACACCAACCATGAGTGCTTAACAATTAAAACTAACAACCAAGTTCTGTTATTTCGTTTTAACAATTAACTAGCGAGCTACTTGTGGTTCTCTGCAATGCTTTATTTTACCAGAGATACTCAGTAATGGATGTCCATGGTCATAGGAAATGAATTGGTCCCCGCATAGAGGGTCGAGCATATATAGGTTGTATGTGTGCAATGCGCCAAAATATGAGAAACGTCGTGCAGTGTCGATTAATGGTAAGTTGTTGGTTAGCATCATTTGAGAATTAATAATTGGATAAACATATGGGGAGTTGCTGGTGGTGCAGGGAGCAAAATAGTTTGCACAAAAGGACTAAAACTATTGGTGGTGGATTAGAAGGACAAGTAGCAAAAGAGCTTTATATAATGTGATTAGCTAGCTATAAAGATTTGCATTAAAAAAATAATAAGAAAGCTTTATGGCATAGGAGGAGCCAGCTCTTGATATAACCATATTGAGCAAGCACCTCACAAATGCTAAAGATAATGCTTATATGGGCTGGCAATGGCATTTTACCTTGCTGAGAACCTGCAACTTTTAACGACATAACACGTATATATGTACACCAACCATGAGTGCTTAACTATAACGACATAACAATGGCAATGGCATGAACTGAAGTCACTACAAATTGTTGTTCCCAAGGTTTTTTTGGCTTTATGTGTCAAAGCCCATAGGCAGAAACTTAAAAACCTTGGTTAGTGAATTTCTTTTCTATTGATTTTTTCTTTATGTAATATAAGAGACTTACAAAAATGTTTTAGAATTAATTAAGATAAAAAATTTAATTAAGATATTTATTTGTAAAAATAACAAATTTTAAAATAGTTTATAATAAAATTAAGGTTTACGATTTCGTTAACATGAAAAAATTTAAACATCAATTAAAATAAATTTAAAATTTGTTATATTTATTTAAGAAAAAGGATAAGATTTAAAATTTAGAGGGGCTAAGTACTTTGTTTCATAATTTTTTCTTCATTCAGTTAAAACCTATCAATCTTACCCACTTTTCTTGTTAGTAATACTTTGCCGGGAACAACACATACTCAACTATTCCAAACACTTAATGCATATAGCAATGTTGAATATTCGTCCAACACTCCTTCATATCGAGAACATAATGAATGTTTAAATACAGTTCAAAATTACGTTTAATAAAAAAAAAACATACATTTTAATAAAAAAAATAAAAAAAATTATAAGTATAATTCTTTTTTCAACCCTCTTATTTTTACTTTCTGGTGAGAAATTTCAGAATAGGGTCAAATTAGACTGGCCAAATCTATTTCAAGAGCAAAATCTAGCGAATTCACATATAGATATTTTGGGTCAATAACTAGTGAATTGAAAGTGTTTCTTGACAAGGTCCTTAATCCTGGTCTCTTCCAAGTACTCCAACTATTGACAAAAATGAAGGAATTAGTGAATTGCATCAAAAGAAATGGGGTTTATGAATAATTTGTGTACCTTCATCGTTCTTACTATGATGATACAGTTCTCCTCCTATGTCAATCTTTGAACACTAATATCACTGAAACTCATCATGAGAACTTATTTTTGCTTTCTGGTGAGAAATTTCAGAATAGGGTCAAATTAGACTGGCCAAATCTATTTCAAGAGCAAAATCTAGCGAATTCACATATAGATATTTTGGGTCATGCTAGTATTAATGGAATTCTTTGCGTTAACAACCGATATTCCACAATTGGACTGTGGAACCCAACTACTGAAGAATTGAAGATCATTCCTCCTAGCCCAAATAAGTTTGTACCATCTAATTTAGTTTATTCAGCTGATCCATGTGGATTTGGCTATGACCGTGATACAGATGACTATAAGGTGATTAGTCATGTACAATTTCTTCTATTTGATGACAATGATAATTGGAATCGTGAAAATGAACATCGTAACCCCTTATGGGAGATATATAGCCTGAGAAGTAACTCTTGGAAGAATCTTGAGATCGATGTCGATGTACCCCTCAGTGATAGGGTTGACTATTTGTATTTGGATGGAATGTGTCATTGGCAAGGTGGTGATTACTTGGTGTCGTTTGACTTAAGCAACGAGGTATTCTTTACAACACCTATACCGTTAGAAATACCATCAGATAGGATACGTTATGAATATGATGTGAAGGAAGGACGTAGTAGTCTTTTGCAAATTATTATTATTATTATTTTATTAATTTGAGGAAAGGGAGGTTATTAGAAGTTATTTGAGTCATTCCACGCAATCACTTCTTCCCGACTCATTTTGTTTCTACGCTTCTGAAGACCAAGGAGAACTTGAAGGAGAGAACCAACTCGATTCTGCTTGTGCTTCCTCTTCTGTTCATCAAGGTAAGGGGAGAGTGAGAAACCTCGCTCAGGGGTGTGGGAATAATTGTTGAGTAGCAAGATTGGTCCCCAATCCCTTGTCTGATGCATGTTTCTAGGAACAGGCAAAATATGAATGATTCCTGTTTTGATGTATGAGTTTTCTGTTGTGTTCCTTGTTGGATGTGATGCGTGAATATGTGTTTAATTTTGAAATTAGATAAGTTTTGATATAAATTAGAGTGCTTTGTGGTTCCCATGGGAAACCCTATGAGAAACAATTAGGAGTATGATCTTTTGACAAGATTTAAGGTATTTTATATAAAATTGTATATATGGATTTATGTTCTAGTTGTTATTTGGAGGATTTTTACCAATTGATTTATATGATTACATGTTTGTTGTGAAAAATTGTTTGATTTCAAAGTGTAGGTTCGCACTAATTAAGTGCATCGAGCGCAGTTCTTTGCACTAGATGCAAATTCATAGTTTCCCAGGAAAGGTTGAGCCGGGCTCAGGAAAGTTGCGCAAGGCTCAAGAAAATTGCGTCAGGCTCAAGAAAGTTGCGTCAGGCACAGGAAAGCCACACCAAGCAGGATTCTTCGCTTTAGGCGCGACATTAAATTTGTCGGGCATGCTCAAGGCACGCCGGGTGTGATCCCTATGATGTTTTATATGTTTTATGTCATGTTTGAAGGTGCAAATTGTGTGGGAATTACCTTATTACTGCGTTAACGTAAGTGATGTGTTTTAAGAGCATGATAATGACAATAATCTCCAACTGATGATCTTATGAGTATGATTATGAGAAATGTGAAATGTGAACAAGTGACATGAGACATGATGTGAATTACGTGTTATTGTGAACACTATGACTATGAGAACGTGAAACGTGATGAAATGAGATAAGACATGAAGTTCCATGACAAGTAAATGAGTCCATGAAGTGTGAATGTGTGTGACATGTATCATGTGCATCTATGTGACGAGTACAATATGGAGTACACCGTTAGAGAAGGCCCTCCTTGTGTAACAACTTGAGGGAGTCCTAGGGGATAGTGCGGTTTGGATGTCTCGATTCTATCTGTTTGTGAGCATAAGACGTAACTTGCGTAGCTTTGCTATCCTAACCAAACCCTAGCAGTACATCCTTTCTAGTTGAGAGTGTATGGGTAGCTCCCTACATGTACTCCTCAACTACCTTAGGTGTGTTGTTTAGGCAGCACACTAGTGATATGTGATATGTGGCGCCACATGCTTGCATTTATGAGTCAAGTCCATGACATTATTGCATGATAAATGAGTGTGCATGTGATACTGATTGTGTATGTGTATTGTTTGCTTGTGATTTGTGCTTATGAGTTGTATTATGATTTTGTTGTGTGTGTGTGTGTTGTCTAACCGTTATTTCTGCACCTGAACATGAGTGAGATGTTTCTCACTCCCTTGTTACTCTATGTGTATTTTATTGTGTTACAGGTGATCATCAACATGAGGATGTTGGTGATGAGGCTTAGGCTTTAGTTGGGCGTGCTCTGATAGGATATGTGACATTAGGGTGTAGCTAGGCTTACTTTAGTATTTCATTATTGTTATTTTATTTTGGAAAAACTCATGTTTCATTTTCTTATAAATTTCACATTTGACCATGATTTAAGTTTACGAATGTAAATTCTCTACTCTTATGTTAGTGAAACCATTCTTTTACTTCTAAAAATTTTATTTAACCCAATAAAATGTTTTTATAATTATAATATATGTATATTGGGATAGAGGGTGTCACAATTCTAATTACAATTGAATTAGAAATCAATCAGGTACGTAAAATTTAAAGAAAGTAAATCTTCATAATAAAATTGACAAAGAAATATTTATATGATCAAATGGTTTATTAATTTTTCATATACTTATAACAATGCATAATTGACAAACCACGTTGTATATATACAAGTTAAGATACTAATAACTTGTCATAATCGTCTTAGGTGTAGATAAAAAAATTATTTATTTATTTTGTCGATTGGAAGATGACTTTCCGTATAAATTACAATCTGTGAAAGACTATCGACGTCTTTAACATCAAGCTCCTCAATCATATGGGTATTTAAATCATACCTGACTAGTTCATCATCTTTACTTCGGAAAAAAATATCCCCCTTCTTCCCAGCTCCAATAGAATGTAGAATGTAAGGCAAGGGCTCAACAATGAAAAGTTTAGTCCATGATTCCTTCACACCGACTTCACCCAAAATTGATATGTTAAAAGTGGAGCAATACATAAAATGCGAGATCAAAGCAACAGATACATTTAACAACACCAAAGTAACATCATATTCATAACGTATCCTATCTGATGGTATTTCTAACGGTATAGGTGTTGTAAAGAATACCTCGTTGCTTAAGTCAAACGACACCAAGTAATCACCACCTTGCCAATGACACATTCCATCCAAATACAAATAGTCAACCCTATCACTGAGGGGTACATCGACATCGATCTCAAGATTCTTCCAAGAGTTACTTCTCAGGCTATATATCTCCCATAAGGGGTTACGATGTTCATTTTCACGATTCCAATTATCATTGTCATCAAATAGAAGAAATTGTACATGACTAATCACCTTATAGTCATCTGTATCACGGTCATAGCCAAATCCACATGGATCAGCTGAATAAACTAAATTAGATGGTACAAACTTATTTGGGCTAGGAGGAATGATCTTCAATTCTTCAGTAGTTGGGTTCCACAGTCCAATTGTGGAATATCGGTTGTTAACGCAAAGAATTCCATTAATACTAGCATGACCCAAAATATCTATATGTGAATTCGCTAGATTTTGCTCTTGAAATAGATTTGGCCAGTCTAATTTGACCCTATTCTGAAATTTCTCACCAGAAAGCAAAAATAAGTTCTCATGATGAGTTTCAGTGATATTAGTGTTCAAAGATTGACATAGGAGGAGAACTGTATCATCATAGTAAGAACGATGATTAGATAAGAAATTATTGCGAAAGATTGTCATGAAATTAGGGTTTTCAAGTAAGGAGACCCATGATTTACAAACACAGCCAAATCTCTTAATAGATTTTAAAGGCAATTTCCCCATAATAGAGAATGTCAGATCATCAGGTATGCGGTTCCTAAACTGTTCACTTACGATATCCACAAATTTTTCTTTCTCAGTCCAAAGGTAAATGGGATAACTAGTGAATTGAAAGTGTTTCTTGACAAGGTCCTTAATCCTGGTCTCTTCCAAGTACTCCAACTATTGACAAAAATGAAGGAATTAGTGAATTGCATCAAAAGAAATGGGGTTTATGAATAATTTGTGTACCTTACCTGGTCCTCCTTAAGAAAGAGGGTGATTTTGGTTCCCTTCCTGAGTTGTTGGCCACTAGAGTCCTTGGTAACAATGAATGAGGCACCACCTTGAGATTCCCAAGTGTATTGGTCATGGTCATTTGAATTGCAGCAAATTATCAATCTTATTTCATTTGCATAGCAGCAAGTCAAGAGATGCATTATGCAACATTTAAAACCATTTATTATTTTAATTTTTTATGGAAAATATTTTAATTATTTTTTACCCACTCAACTACCTGCTATATCAGGTGATTTTAGTGGTATACCTACTACATCCTATACCATCTAATTAACTCATTCATAAAACACATCTATGAATAAATAAATTACAAAATTTAAAATAAGTTCAATTTTCAGCATAAGAATCATTGGCAACAAGGCTAATAACTTGATACTGGAAAAAAAATACCAATCTTAATTAAAAGGGCTCATCTAAAATAAAATTACAACTATAACTAGAAAATTTCTTTTGTTAGGATAAGAAAATAGTCTATAATATTTTCAGAGAAGAAAAATATAATTTCTTTTAGGGGAGAAGAAAAATATAATTAAATTTTACAAAATAAATGTTAATAACAAAAATATCTAAAATACCTATTTTTCTATAAATTACAATTGTCTCATGAATAGGATCACAATTTCTCTTTTATCTTTCTATTTGAGATTTTTATAAGATATGTATTTATATTTTTGTGTGACCTATTTTATTAAAAGGCGCTAAAACTTAAAAGGATTAAAAAAAAAGTAATACTAATTTGTTTTTTTTTTCTTTTATCTTCTATAGCTTTCTACAATCATTTTTAAAAAAAATTGTTTTTATTAAGATAATACCTTATTGTTGTGCAATTTTTTTAATTAAAAATATTTGTTAAAAATAAAACTTTGTGAGGGCAATTGCTCTCACATTTTTTAACGCTAATCTACACTTTCCTTTGGCTTGTCTGGTCAGTCAATGACCATCCATTTTATTTAAGTACCTTTTTTTTTTTTTTGTAAGTTTCTATTTTTATTTAACACTAAACAAGAGTACAACGTCATTAAAAATAACTTTATGAGTGTTATTAATAAAATATAACAATTTGCTTCAAAAAAAAAAAAAAAATATAACAATATTTTAGCATTAATGAAATTTTTTCATCCTCTTAAGTATATGCTTATTTTTTACTTTTAAAACCTTCGCTTTTGTAGCATTTTGTAAATATCTACACATGTAATTCTAACTCTTTTGGAATGAAAGTTGGTTATATTTGGGATGCAAGTTTAGTTGTTAAAAAAAAAAACTATAACAAAAAGTGAGAGTTTTAAGTATAAGAAAAAAAACAAAAACACAACCTAATTTTATGATATAAAAAATACCATTAACTAAACATTTTAATATTAAAAAAATAACTGATAAAAAATAGTTAATGTTTAAATAATATTTTTTATATTTAAAATTACTTATAAAATTAAAATTAGGTTTAATCAATTGTACTACTCAAGCAGTGGGACCAGGACCTAATTGTATGTATATTTTATAAAATAATTTATATTAATAAATAAAGAAAGATCGAATAATTTTGTTAGTCTTAGAGTTTTTGCATACTCATTGGATGGATAGGTCTGAAAAAAGTCAATGACTTCAAAATAAAAAATAACAGGATTTAGGAAATGCATATCCTATACCATGTAATTAACCCATTCACAAAATACATCTTTAAAAAAATAAACAAGTTGAATTTTCAGTACAAAATTAATAAGGATGCAACAGACATATTGAACAGCCTCTCTATTTGGGTTAATATCAATGAGACACGTGGCTAGATAAAATTTGTATTGGTACCGTCCTTACCCATTGATGAAGTGCCGACGGGGTAGAGAGGTTCACCATGAGAAGGATGCCAATGAGAGATATTTTGATCCAACCATCAAAATATCTAACAACTCAGATTCGCCACAGATTAAAACAAAATAAAAAAAAACAACAATTTCTCTTCGATTATCAACACAACTACACAAGCACCAGCAACACAACTCGAAAACAAGATCCAATTAGAAAAAAAAATGTAACAAAAAACTGCATAACAATAATTAAAAATGAAAACCAGCACCAAAATATCTAATAGCAACTCAGATTCAAAACAGTCAAACAATTCAAATCAAATAAAATAAAAAAAAAATCCACTTCAACAATCAACACAATTACACAAGCACCAGCAACAAAACTCGAAAATAACATGCAATCAGAAAAAAAAAATGCAGCAGAAAATTGCATAACAATAATGAAAAAAAAGTGTGTATAACTGTATAAGTACCTGACGAGTTGTGTACAAAACTATAATTGAAGGACTACTTACCTTGAAAGCATTGTTGATAAGTTCATGAAAGAAAGTTTCTTTGTTTAAATGGAAATTGTTGTTTATAACGCTCAGTGACTCAACCTTGAATTCGAATGTCTCGCTTTCACCATCACCCATTGCAATTACAAATAGAACAAAAAAAATCAAAATTTTATGTTATATTCTCTAGGGAAAACAGGATTATTTTTCTTATAATTCTTGTATCCTCACCAACTTATATTCACGCAAATGGATGAATTTTTAAATGAAATACATTAAATACATTAAATAACATATCGCAAATGGACGAACTTTTAAATGAAATACATTAAATAGTAGATATGGTATTAATTATTTTCTTAATTAATTATTTAAATCAAATCATCTTATTTCCTAGGGGTGTGTTTCTTTCTCAGTCCAAAGGTAAATGGGATAACTAGTGAATTGAAAGTGTTTCTTGACAAGGTCCTTAATCCTGGTCTCTTCCAAGTACTCCAACTATTGACAAAAATGAAGGAATTAGTGAATTGCATCAAAAGAAATGGGGTTTATGAATAATTTGTGTACCTTACCTGGTCCTCCTTAAGAAAGAGGGTGATTTTGGTTCCCTTCCTGAGTTGTTGGCCACTAGAGTCCTTGGTAACAATGAATGAGGCACCACCTTGAGATTCCCAAGTGTATTGGTCATGGTGGTTATGATTGGTGGTGACCATGACCTTGTTAGCAACCAAGAAAGCGGAGTAGAAACCAACGCCTAATTGACTAGACCTTCCCAAATTGTGAACCAAATCTAAAATAATACACACACCACACCTATAAGCATGAAATGCACACACACATATAAAATGAAAATGCAACACATTACCTGTTTTGGTCATGCCAATGCCATTATCAATAATGGAAAGTGTTTTGTTAACCTTATGAGGGACCAATCTAATGAATTGAGCTTCTAACTCAGTTTGCCTCTCATATCGAATTTTGTCCAAAGCCTAGAAAAGAAACACAAATGAAATTGAAAATTTTAATCTTTACAAAACTATAATTGAAGGACTACTTACCTTGAAAGCATTGTTGATAAGTTCATGAAAGAAAGTTTCTTTGTTTAAATGGAAATTGTTGTTTATAACGCTCAGTGACTCAACCTTGAATTCGAATGTCTCGCTTTCACCATCACCCATTGCAATTACAAATAGAACAAAAAAAATCAAAATTTTATGTTATATTCTCTAGGGAAAACAGGATTATTTTTCTTATAATTCTTGTATCCTCACCAACTTATATTCACGCAAATGGATGAATTTTTAAATGAAATACATTAAATACATTAAATAACATATCGCAAATGGACGAACTTTTAAATGAAATACATTAAATAGTAGATATGGTATTAATTATTTTCTTAATTAATTATTTAAATCAAATCATCTTATTTCCTAGGGGTGTGTAAAATATCCTTTTGGATAATAAAATTAAATATATGTGTTTAAATTTTCACATATTTAGGGGGTGTATTGGAGTAGGATTTCATAGGACTTTTTTAGTTGAAAAAAGTCCTGCGAATTTTAAAAGACTTTGCAAGATTTTCATAACATTTAAGACTTTGTAGAATTTTGCAATACTTTGAATCAAGATTTTAATAGATTTTGAAAAACTTTTAAATAGAGATTTTAATCGACTCTGCAGGACTTTGTGGAGTTTGCAAAATTTCATAAATTTTTAACATACGATAAGAGTTCAAGATTTTTTTTTCACATTTATATTTAAAAAGAGTCAAAGACATATATATATATATATATATATGTTATATTCTCTGGGGAAAACAAGATTATTTTTCTCATAATTCTTGTATCCTCACCAACTTATATTCATGCAAATGGATGAATTTTTAAATGGAATACATTAAATACATTAAATACCAGATCACAAACGAACGAACTGTGTGGTGGCCGGCGAGGGACTGTTGGAACGATTTAACACAGCTGGATGTGTGGTGGACGGCGAGGGACTATTGGAACGGTTTAACCGAGAAGGAGCTGCGGTGGGCGAGGGAGTGTTGGAGCCGTTTAACGGAGAAGGAGCTGTGGTGGCCGGCGAGGGAGTGTTGGAGCCGTTTAACAGAAAAGAGAAGGAGGGAGTGTTGGAGCCGTTTAACAGAGAAGAGAAGGAGATCTGTTGGGGCAAAGGAAGGTTCAAAACAAATTTCGTGTATCACAAAACTAAATTATAAAAATAAAAATAAATTAATTCTTTATCAGCATTATTTTTAATTGGTTTAAATATGTTTTTAGTCCTTCAAATTTAGGGTAATTCTGTTTTTGGTCCCTCAAATTTTAAATTATTATTTTTAGCCCTTGTAATTTCAAAAAATCTTATTTTAGTCCTTATATTCAAATTTTGATAAGAAATTTATCAAATATTATTGCATAAAATTTACCTATTAGTATCATTATCAGTGAAAATATCACAATAAATCTGGTTGATGTTGCATAACTGTATTAATTAGTCACTTTCAAATATGTTATTGGTGACCTAAGGAACTAAAATAAGATTTTGAAAATTACAGGGACTAAAAACAACAATTTTAAATTTAAGGGACCAAAAACTAATTTATCTTAAATTTAAGGGACTAAAAACATATTTAAGCCTTTTTAATTTTTGTTTCTGCTCAATTTATTTAAAATAAATAAATAAATAAAAATTTATATTAATACTAGCATGACCCAAAATATCTATATGTGAATTCGCTAGATTTTGCTCTTGAAATAGATTTGGCCAGTCTAATTTGACCCTATTCTGAAATTTCTCACCAGAAAGCAAAAATAAGTTCTCATGATGAGTTTCAGTGATATTAGTGTTCAAAGATTGACATAGGAGGAGAACTGTATCATCATAGTAAGAACGATGATTAGATAAGAAATTATTGCGAAAGATTGTCATGAAATTAGGGTTTTCAAGTAAGGAGACCCATGATTTACAAACACAGCCAAATCTCTTAATAGATTTTAAAGGCAATTTCCCCATAATAGAGAATGTCAGATCATCAGGTATGCGGTTCCTAAACTGTTCACTTACGATATCCACAAATTTTTCTTTCTCAGTCCAAAGGTAAATGGGATAACTAGTGAATTGAAAGTGTTTCTTGACAAGGTCCTTAATCCTGGTCTCTTCCAAGTACTCCAACTATTGACAAAAATGAAGGAATTAGTGAATTGCATCAAAAGAAATGGGGTTTATGAATAATTTGTGTACCTTACCTGGTCCTCCTTAAGAAAGAGGGTGATTTTGGTTCCCTTCCTGAGTTGTTGGCCACTAGAGTCCTTGGTAACAATGAATGAGGCACCACCTTGAGATTCCCAAGTGTATTGGTCATGGTGGTTATGATTGGTGGTGACCATGACCTTGTTAGCAACCAAGAAAGCGGAGTAGAAACCAACGCCTAATTGACTAGACCTTCCCAAATTGTGAACCAAATCTAAAATAATACACACACCACACCTATAAGCATGAAATGCACACACACATATAAAATGAAAATGCAACACATTACCTGTTTTGGTCATGCCAATGCCATTATCAATAATGGAAAGTGTTTTGTTAACCTTATGAGGGACCAATCTAATGAATTGAGCTTCTAACTCAGTTTGCCTCTCATATCGAATTTTGTCCAAAGCCTAGAAAAGAAACACAAATGAAATTGAAAATTTTAATCTTTACAAAACTATAATTGAAGGACTACTTACCTTGAAAGCATTGTTGATAAGTTCATGAAAGAAAGTTTCTTTGTTTAAATGGAAATTGTTGTTTATAACGCTCAGTGACTCAACCTTGAATTCGAATGTCTCGCTTTCACCATCACCCATTGCAATTACAAATAGAACAAAAAAAATCAAAATTTTATGTTATATTCTCTAGGGAAAACAGGATTATTTTTCTTATAATTCTTGTATCCTCACCAACTTATATTCACGCAAATGGATGAATTTTTAAATGAAATACATTAAATACATTAAATAACATATCGCAAATGGACGAACTTTTAAATGAAATACATTAAATAGTAGATATGGTATTAATTATTTTCTTAATTAATTATTTAAATCAAATCATCTTATTTCCTAGGGGTGTGTAAAATATCCTTTTGGATAATAAAATTAAATATATGTGTTTAAATTTTCACATATTTAGGGGGTGTATTGGAGTAGGATTTCATAGGACTTTTTTAGTTGAAAAAAGTCCTGCGAATTTTAAAAGACTTTGCAAGATTTTCATAACATTTAAGACTTTGTAGAATTTTGCAATACTTTGAATCAAGATTTTAATAGATTTTGAAAAACTTTTAAATAGAGATTTTAATCGACTCTGCAGGACTTTGTGGAGTTTGCAAAATTTCATAAATTTTTAACATACGATAAGAGTTCAAGATTTTTTTTTCACATTTATATTTAAAAAGAGTCAAAGACATATATATATATATATATATATGTTATATTCTCTGGGGAAAACAAGATTATTTTTCTCATAATTCTTGTATCCTCACCAACTTATATTCATGCAAATGGATGAATTTTTAAATGGAATACATTAAATACATTAAATACCAGATCACAAACGAACGAACTTTTAAATGAAATACATTAAATACTATATATGGTATAATAATAATAATAATAATAATAATAATAATAATAAATTATGTGTCTTTATGAAAAGTAATTTTATTTAAATTGGATAAAATTCATTAATAACAAAGCTCTGATTCTCTAAAACTTAATACAAATTATACAATTGTACAAATGAGCATGTTTTAGCTAAAATTGGCAGATTTTTTTTGGCAATTTTATTAGTATGTATTATTTCTTAAATTTAATTCTTATAACTATGGGAATTCTAACATATTAAATAATTATTATTTTAATTTAGATAATAAAATAATGTCAAAATAAATTATAATGTATCGAATCATTTTAAAAATATTTTTCTTATATGTAGGGATGACTGAAAAAATAATTCACATTTACAAATACATTTAAATGTGCAATTAATAGAAAATGAATAGTTTGATGGGTGCTTAGTTAATAATAGAGTGGAAACAAGTAGTATAAAATACTCGTATTTGCAGATATTTACTTAATATATATATATATATATATAAGGATGGATCCGTTTATTTCAAGAGTAAGTCAATCTAAACTAACTCTATTTAATAACTCATGTTATACATCAAATTTCAATGATCTAACCATTGAGTTTAAAATTCTTAATTCATAGATCAAATCTGTAAATTTTTAAAAAATTTGAAAATCATTTGATACTTTGTTTCATTAATTCAAATCAATGTATAAAATTAAAAAAAAATTATGATTATCTGTCAATTTGAATTAATGAAATGAAGTATCAAATGATTTTCAAATTTTTTAAAAATTTGCAGATTTGATTTATGAATTAAGAATTTTAAACTCAAAGGTTGGATCATTGAAATTTGATGTAGAATATGAGTTATTGAATAGAGTAAGTCTATGTAAACTTACACTTGGAGTAAATGGATCTTCCTATATATATTATATATATACAAAGAGAGAGAGAGGAATTACTTATCATAAGAGTAACTTTTGGTAGAGTTATTCTACTCAAATAGAATTCATACTCTACATTGAATTTCAATCATCCAACAAATGAATTAAGAGTCATTAATGAATAGATTAAGTCTACAAAATTTTGTAAAATTTGAAAATTATATGATATTTCGTTATATTAAATCAAATGGAAATATATTTTCAAAAGTATATTATATAACAATATGATGAAACATCAAATGGTCTTCAAATTTTGTAAAAAATTGTAGACTTAATCTATTCATTGAAAATTTTTAATATAATGGTTGAATTATTTAAATTTAATATAGAATATAAGTCATTGAGAGAAATAACTCTTCTAAGACTTATTTTTGGAGTAAGTAGATCTCTCTCTCTACACACCCATATATATGAAGAGTGATTAACTTACTCTAAGAGTAAATCTTACTAGACTTACACTACTCAATAACTCATGATCTATATCAAATTTGAATGATCAAACTGTTAAACTAAATTTTTTTAATGCATAAACAAAATTCACAAATTTTTAAAAAATTAAAATTATTTGATACTCCATTTTATTAATTCAAATTGACATATAAACTCAAAAACATTTAATACGTTAATTTGAATCTATATAATTAAGTATCATATGATTTTCAAATTTTTAAAAAAATTTGTGAATTTGATCTATTTATCAAAAAAATTTAATTTAATGCTTAGATTGTTGAAATTTAATGTAAAATATGAATTATCGAGTAAAATAAATCTACCTAGACTAAATTTTAAAGTAAGTGGACCTCTCCTGTATATATAATTGACCATGGGGTCATCCAAAGGTGCAATTGCTCTAAATCTATGACTCACAAGGGTCCAAATTTTTTAATTTTTTTTAATTGTGAGATAATTTTTTTTATATTACTTTTATAAATAAAATTATCATTTATGTATTATTTTTTTAATTATAAATTTATGTCATTTTTATCACTAGTTTTTTAATGTATTATAATTTAACGTTTTTATTTTATTAAATTAATTGAAAATTAACTATATTTTATTACTTTTTAATAAAGTGAGTGAATGATAATGAATTAATTAAAATTTTAAAATATATTTTTTTAAAAAATAACTTTTTGGTTAATACGGTGACTAAAATGTATTATAATAAATAATAAAATTAAATAAATTAAATCTTATAATGGTTATTTTTTTCATAGATTATTTTTTTAATGATGTTAAATTAAATATTCTAATTATTTTATAATAAATTAAAATGAAAATATAATAAAATATGTTAACTGATATTTTAAATAAAATATATTAAAATATTATAATCAAAAGAAATTTAATATTAAATCAAAATATTATATAAATCATAACTAAAATTATAATAAATATTCTGATATTAAATTTATTATATATTAAAATTAATTACATATTTGTATCAAAGAAATTGCTCTAGATTTTAGATTTTATTTATTATGTTTTATAATAAATAAAATCCAATATTAAATCAAAAGATTATAACAATCATAACTCAAATCCAGGTAAATATCTTTCACCATCAAAAGAAATCCAATATTAAATCAAAAGATAATAAAAATTATAACTAAAATATTTATAAATTTTCTAATATTAAATTTAGTATATATTAAAATTAATTAATTAAATATTTGTATTTAAGAAATTGCTACAGATTTTAGATATATATTTTAAAGTTTTTATTTTATTAAATTAATTAAAAATAAATTATATTTATCACTTTTTAATAAAGTGAGTGAATGATAATGAATTAACTAAAATTTTAAAATATATTTAAATTAAAAATATTTTTTTGGTTAATACGGTAACTAAAAAGTATTATAATAAATAATTAAATTAAAAAAGAATAAATTTTATAATGATTATTTTTTTATGATGTTAAATTAAATATTCTAATTATTTTATAATAAATAAAAATAAAAGGATAATAAAAATATGTTTTACATACGGAATTTATCTACAGAAATATCCGTAGATAAGTTATCTACGGAAATTTTTGTAGATAACTTATCTACGGAAATTTCCGTAGATAATTGGACATTATCTACGGAAAACATTCCGTAGATAATATTCCTTAGAAAATTAAATTCTATCTACGAAAAAAATTTCGTAGATAATATTCTGTAGATAGTTAAACGTTATCTACGGAAACAAACTTAATAGAATATGCAATAAAACTGACTTCTCCAATGTTGTGTGCATATGCCTTAAATTACTCCCGTTTGTGCAAGTGTGTCTGCTCTAAAGAAATTCATGAGCTCTAGGACATAGGAGGTCCAGTAGAAGGTTTGACATAATAATTATATTAAATTGACAATTAAACTTAATTTTGTCTCTAATACAAAAATTTCACTTTTGATATGATGCATTTATGTAAATATGCAACAAGCAGGTGGCTTTAGTGTCGCATTTGATCCCTTTGATGGGTCCAACATTGTGGACACAAACTTCACAGTAGGCACCATCTTTGACATGTGTGACACCCTCTACCCCGCATACCATAACACATAAATAATAAAATTTGAATAATACAATCTTTCATTTTTAAAATATTAAACGTATTCAGCTAGAGAGCACCACATCCATGACTTAAACAAATAACATAATCAGTGGAAATTACAAAAGAAATAAGGCTAAGGTTTTCAAAATAGTTTAATAGAAACAACATCCTAATCTAATCCTATCCACACCCCGATGTCACATGTCCTATCAGAGCAAAGCCCAACATTGAAGTCTAAGCTTCATCGCTAACATCCTCATCCTCATGCTGATGATCACCTATATAACAATCAAAGGAAAATAACACAAAAGAAAAGGGAGTGAGAAAACAGAGATGAAATAGATACAATTGAGAAAAACTCCTCATATATGAGCATACAACAAACATAGGATTGGGGGTCAAGCCCACTACCCAATATACTTTCCCACACCTAGAGCGAGGTTTCTCATTCCCCCTTTACCTCGATAAGCAGGAGATGAAACTAAAACAGGATCTTGCTGGTCTCCTCCTTTGGGTTCTCCTTGTTCTTTAGAGAGTGTAGAAGAAAAATAAGTCAGAAGTGAAAAATATGTTTTTGGGAGTGCCAGAGCGTGTTATTTATAGACGTCAGGAGTGACCAGAATAATCCGTTTCGAATCTAGAACGGCCCGTTTTGATTCATCATGTGTTAAATTCACATCTGGAACGGCCCGTTCTTAAATCAGAATGGTCCGTTCCCAACTAGGGTTATAGGTCATTTTAGTTGTTTAGAACGACTCATTAATTCTGGGTTACTAAATATCAAAAAAAATTCT